TAATTAGACATTTTGAGGCAGACTTGCGTCATTTCAAATGATGACAGTTATGTAAAATTTTGAAAAATTCAAAATTTATTTTCCGTTAAAGCATAAAACAAAATTTTGCTTTAATTAAGCTACAGATTATGAAGCTTTTCGATCAGTATCATTAATTATGTGATCAGTAAGTTGTTAATCATTGTTTTAAGTAAGAAAATTCCTAAATTAAGAAAATTCAGTTGAAATTGAAAAATGTCAACAAAAAAATGTAAGTGTGTAAGTGTAAAAATTTCTTGAAAATATTTCTGCAAAAAACTCTTTTGTTTCTTGATATTCATGATTTTAAAGCTTATCAATGTTCATAAATAATAACAAGCTTTGATTCTAAGCTAGTTGACAGTAGTTATCATAGCTAAAATGCTCAAAATTCAACATAGAATTTTTTAAAGTTTTACCGGTTGAATTGAGTTTAAAATTTTCGAAATAAATTTCGAATTTTTCGGAGCCAATTTCGAATTTCTTCGAAATGAAATGACGCAAGTCTGTTTTGAGGTGTGTTGAAAAATTCACCGAGAAGAGAAAAATAAATAAATATTGTGATGATAATTTAATCAGGCGTTAGGTTAAAAAAAATCTTTTGATTTACAATCAATTTCGTATGAATATGCTCATTAGTCAGCACAAAATTGACACATTCAGCGAGGGTAAAAAACCTTTTTTAAGGCAATGGTGTGAGGAGATAAATGTGTTGGGATTATCATTGTTATTATCGTGATCATAAATGTGCAAAAAAAAAATTGATGGTGATAATGGTAATGATGGGGATGAAATATTACCATCGTTCATAATCTCATAAATGCGTGAAATCGATTATGAAAGGAAATTAAAAAGTTGAGCTAAAAATAAATTTAAATTTTTTTTTCATTCCTGAATATTGATTGTTAATGTTTGCTCATCATAATGATGATTGGGTCTGATGATGTCATTTTTGAAAGTTTTATTAGAGATTGATGTGGGGAAGTTCGTTCTGTTTTGAGGATTTATATTCCAAATTTTGCTATATTTGGTGTCTAATTCAATCGCATCTACAAATTTAAAGCAGTGTGAGTTGAATTAGGTTTGGTTTGCTATTTAGGCTCACAATTTGACATTGGACCTGATAAAAATATGACTTAACAAACTATTGTAAATGCTAGAAGCCTTGATTTATGGTTTTTGGATCCTGCAACTTGATCAAAATTTTCCAACATTTATTTAACGGTTTTGATGCTTTAGACTCGACTAAAGCTTCAAGAGTGCCAAATAGTATAAGGTCATGGCCCTAATATGATATCCGAATGGCATAAGTCGGTTAATCGATCAGAAAGACGCTACCAAGCCAGTGTGACCCCGGTGTGGTGTGGACATAGTCATATCATATGTTCAATTAACCGACTTGAGCCATTCGGGATACATTATTATTATTATTTATTTGTCGCTTTACCGTCCTGAGGAATTCGTATTTACACATGTTTACTTTTTCCATTCATTAGTGATACACTATGGTGATGTAGAATCAAGCTTCCAATCTTCTATTTCTGTTCAAGTTTCTGATCCGTTCCTTAATCTAACGTTACCCAGTTTTGGCTTGATCTCGTACATTAAGCAGTCAGAGTATCTAAACTTCTGAAAAAAAAACAAATTTCAAAATTGCTGGATTCGAATCGACGACCTTCAAGTTTCCATACAAAATTTGAGTCAAGCGTCTTACCTATTCGACCAGCAGACACTTAATTGCTTACCCAGGAAAATGAGCTATTGGAAATCTATACATACCAAATTTTCCACTTTTTGTAAATTTTTCTAATCAAAAATCAAAATTAATTCAACCTAGATAGTCATCTTTAAAAAGCATTACCCTCAAATTACTCTCATAAAATGTCTGTAAGTATTAACGCGTGTACCAAACATAAAATTAATCCCTTAAATTATTTCCAAAAATATTTCAAGTACAACAAAAAAATATCTCAAAACACTTTAAATCCTCAAGTACTTTTTTGGAGCGTCATTTCTAATATTTTCATCGCCTTCCTTCTTTAACGAGTAAGAAGAGTGAGGAAGGAAAAAGGAAGAAGAAAGCCAAAATAATATCAACAACAAGGTTTTCTTTTTGCTGAACTAGAAAACGACCCAATATTAACCTGTTGCTCTGCACGTCTTCTTCAGAAGCTCTTATTTCCTGAATTTCTGCTCATATTTTCATTAAATTTCAACTTTTTTTTCTTCATGGAAACTTTTCTTTCTTATGCTTTATGTTCGTACGTATGTTTCAACGGAATGTTTAATAAAAATTTTTTTGGGGGAGTGTAGTGAAGTGGCAGCGAGTAAACATCAATGTTTCCATTTCTATTATCGCGGAAAGGCATAAGATGATGAAGCTCTAGAGAAAGGCAAGAAGCAACAGCATAATTTTTTATTAATAATAAATTTCTACAATGTATAAAAATTTAGGACTTAAAAGAAATTTATGAGCGAAAACCCTTTTTTGGGGAATTTAAAAATGGGAAATGGGGTGCTGATGTCTTCATTTTGTCTAAACATCTAGTATAGATAATCATCATCAAAAGTAACATCTGAGCAGTGATGCTTGAATGTAGTTATAAGTAAGAGGCTTGTCAGGAGATCAAACAAGGCGCAAAGCTAGTGGGGATGAATTCGAGACAAATTTCTAGAATTGAAATTCAGGTCGCTTGTCACAGGCACAAGTGACAGATCTGTCACAGATATTGTCTGTTAAAAGACAGTGCCCGTGACAGGTAATATTTTTTTTTTGTCTATCACAGGCACAGATCTGCAATATCTGTGGGCATATTTGACAGATCTGTGCCTGTGACAGGCAAACAAAATATTGTTATCATGAACCAATCCTTTATTCAGAAGATGAGGGAGGTTTCAAATGCAATAGTTTAGCTTTTGGATTTTTCTATTAATCCAGCACATAGCTAAGTGCATTCAGAATCAATGTTAGGGTTGGAAGAGGTTTTGGGTCAACACCCCTCAATAGGAAAAGGACATTTTGATTAATTTTTGAGTAAAATGTAAAGGCTTTCCACTCTGCTCAAAAATTTTACATCTTAACAAGTTCCTACATCTCTAAAATTCTGACTATATCTCAACATTTGCAAAATGCGCTTTAAACATCGCAACCTCAGTTGACATTTCTAACTCGTTTGTTCCTTAACGGCTTAATTTCTTTTATTATATCGGAGGGAAAATTTATTCATTTTTCGGAGTGGTAGTGGCGGTTTGATTATTATTAAGGCTCAATTAAATCAGCGCGTATTACCGTTAGCATAAAGACGAAGACACAGTTGGAAGGCATAAATTTGGGGTCAAAGATGCATGCCGTAAAAATTAAGAAACTGTTGCTTATTCCTTTCCATATTTCGTCGTCATCTCTTTAAGCATTCATAACAGTCATAAGACCTAAAAGTTTCTTCTTCTTCTTGCCTCTTAAAATAAAGAATTTCTGCTTTTTTTTTCATTAAAATATCTGTCTCTACACCCGAAAATGTTTCATCTTCCTCGCTCACTTCTCGATAAAATAGCAAAAGAAGATAAAAAAGAAAAATCAATTTTATACGAAAAGATATCGATAGATGGAGAATTGAATGGATGGAAATAAAATTGTTGCGTATCCATCTCGTCAATGGTTCGTTACATTTTGTTAAAGAGCTTCTTGTCTTTTTTTTATCTTCAAAAAAATCATCTCAAGACAAAATTTAAGATTTTCATTTTGTGAATGCTGAAATGGATAAAAATTCAGAACATTTGCAGAAGCTGAAATTTCTAATTTTGTTTTAAGTGCTGTTGCTATTGCAAACAAAATGCTTGATATTGTCTTATTTATAGCAAATTGCTTACAGTAAAGCTTTATGGATTTGCTTATGAAATTGAAAAGTCTTTTTTTTTTGCTTTGGCAGTTCATTGTGATGTGAAATTTCAAGGACCAGTTTCTTCGATTTTTAAGAAATTTCTTGAAAGTCTTTTGTGATTCTTCCTTTGTAGCTTATTAAGATTTTTTGATAAAATTCAGAAATAAATCAAATCAAAGTTTGTATTGCTTTATTCCAGCATATGCAATCTAGTGGAAATCAAGGACGTCCAGCATATGCAATCTAGAGGAAACCATTGATGTCCACCAACTTTTTGTGATAAACCTGTTTAAAGTTATCGATTAAGTCAAGGTCGGGTTAAGTTCTTTTGACCACCTTGTTCAGTGTTTCTCAAACTACGCTTCGCGGTGCTTTGATGTGAACTAGGTGCTCAGCGAAAATATTGACGGAACAGCAAAGTAATCTTAAAAAAATAAAGTGGGTCGTGTTCTGAAAGATTTAAGAAACACTGATCTAGTTGGTTGAAGTGACTTCTAAATGGCACAAGTTGCTGGAAAAGCCAAATACTGTCAAAGGTTGAAGTTAAGTTGGAGCTAGATTTCACTGAATTTTAGTCAGTTGCTTTTTCAGTACCAATTGTCATATGAACCAATGCTCTACCCAGGCGCGTAGCCATTGGGAGGGGGGGGGGGACAAATCCCCCAACGTAAACAGAAATTTCTTTATTTTGCTAGGGTTTTTATGAAAAAATCACATTGAAAAATTGTAACAAAATGTAACATAGGGGGGGGGGGGGGGAGGGTTGACAAGAAGTATGTAATGTTCTTACTGTCGTCTGTCTTTTAAAAAAAAGTTCACGAAAATTTTTTTTTATAAATTCACACCAAAAACATTTTTTTTAAATTTTCCACCTTTTTAATGATAAAATAAATTATGAACGTTAAGGGGTGGGGGTGTTTGTGAGTTGTAACATATTGTAACAAGGGGGGAGGGAGGGGGAGGGGTGAAAAAAGTCGTTTTTTTGCGTAACGTAATAAGTGAACAGCCCCTTAATGAACCAAATATTCCAAAAAATGGCTGTTTGTAGCAATAACACAACATTTAAGCTAGTAAATAGTCAATGACTGAAAAATTTGTTTTATTTCAAATTCATTATTAAATCAAATTAAAGTTTGAGTCTGGTGTTCCAGCTTGACTTTCTCGTCCCCATAATTCTGTGTCTAATTGTTGATACCTTCTTTGTCTTGTTGGTGAGCCACTCACACGTGGTTTAACATGAATATACGCAAGCTCTAAGGATGTCGATCTTGTTCTTGATCTTCTCTGTCTTCTCCTTGAACTTCTTGTACGTCTGTTTCCATTAGACTTTACCAAACTTCGGCTGTTTCTTGTATCTATAACCTCCATTTGACATTCTGGACACGATGATTTACTTTTCACATAAACATTGAAGCAAGAATGATGGAAAGTGTGTTGACACGTAAGGATGCAAATTTTCTCATCGTCCAGAAATTTCAAATAACAGATTTTACATTTTACAGTTCCGTTATGCTTGTTGCTGTCATAAAGCTCAACTTTCAGATCTTCGATGTTCATTTTTACTGAGAATTTTAAAAAAAATGTCAACATTAATTTTGTTAATGTAAAATAATATCGAAAGACTCCTGCGAAATAAAATATTTCAGAATAAATTAAATTCTCACTTTTGATATCCATTAGTAGAATTGGAGAAAAAAGTTTAAATCTGTCTGGTTTGACCCACTTAACCACTTTTCATTACTCAACATTATAAAATATATCTTAAACCATTAAGTGGAAACGGAAGCTTTCATATTTAATATATATTTCAATTAATATCAAATTGCATCTTGTGTTATGTGTTGATTTAACTTTACTTAACTTTAAATGGATAAAAATGAAGGATGTTGAAGTAGGAAGGTATGTGAGGGGTCAATAGCGCATTTTCATTAGTTTGACATTCATTTGTGACAATTTTTAATAGACTGATTACAAGAACAAGTTCATGATAAGCATAAGCAGTTCAATTGCACAGTCGTTCACTTTTCATTCCTCCGATCTGAATAGCTCTTAACAAGTTCAAAGACATTCCGACCATTCCAAATCATCCCACACGCCACAACTCATTAACAAGAAGCGGAACAGCAAAATCTTCTTTACATAGCAATGGATAGCAATTTATAAATGCAGTTTGATATTTTGTTATTCCTTTCCATTAAGAAAGAGCATCAAGTAAGTAAGTAAGTAAGTAAGTGGTGTTAATAAGACAAGAAAGGGAGGAGAATGAGAAAGAAATCATCAAGGAGATGAAAGTTTTCCATTTATACACACATTTTGATATCCAATATCACGAAACCCATTTACGTCATTACTTGTTTACTGATATTTTCATCTAATGCTTCGACAAGTGAGCCATTTGGTCAATTCTCTCTCTCTCTCTCTTTCTATTCCATTGACATACATATAAAACTCTTTGTGTCTACATGCACATGTTTAACTTACTAATTAATGTTATAGTAATCGTCATTGGTTTGTTTGGTTATCTGGCTGACTGACTAGCTCGCTGATTGAGATTGACTAGTGTTGAGACTAGTGACTGCTGGTTGTGTAGCAGACCGTTCAAAAGTTTGTTTAATACTCTGGCTAGTTGCAACCTGATAGTCTGGTTGGCTGGCTATTGATGTTCTTCATCATGCTTGACGATGCATCATTCTAGTATGTACATATTTATACTATACAAAATACACAAATTGCAAAGCTTTGACCTTTTCCTTTACAATTCCATAAAGTTGATGATGAAGAGATTGTTTTGAGGAAGGAGAATGAAGGGGCAACAAGATGCATTTAGATTAACACTCACTTTATGCTCTTGGATTTTTTACGTGCGTAGCTACAATAAATTGTCTGATTTTTTGAAATTTTTCCCTCCTTTCCACTTCTTATTCTGTTTCTCTCACATGACTTTAGTCTAAAGAAAATTAAATGAAGGAAGAGCAAATGAATCCATAAGATATATCGCTTCCATTTTCATGCTATAATATTCCCACAAAAAAAAGAATCCATTCAATGATGGCTAGCGTATAACACACACATTCTCTATCTGCTACTGTTCTGTTCATTCTCACATATCCGATAACGGTAATGTATTGGAAATTTATATCAAGTTGTCGGTGAAGAAGGGATAGTGAGGAAAAAGAAGCGTCGGGAAATGAACTTCTTTAGTTACTGCTTTTTTATTGCATTTTTAAATAGCAAAAGTGCGATATGAGTATTCAGTTTGATGGATGAAGTGGATGTCTGATGATTGGGGTTTTTGGACAGAGGATAATAAAGAGGTTCTTGATTTTTCATGGTATTCAAGGTGTCTTATTTAGTAATTTAAGAATTGCAGTAAGAGATTGAACTTATTTATACACCTGTTGTAGCTTTTACTGTAGATGGGATTATTGGATGTGTAAAATGTTTTATCCAAGAAATGGAAACTCAAGATTGATCCTGAAAAATCCCAAAAATCCTTAAATCATCAAATGCATCAGGTATTTAAAAGAGATTTTACATTTCAACGTTTATTGTCTTAGGGATTTTTTTAAGGATTCTTGGGATTTTCAAGATTAATCCTTAGTTTTCACGCCTTGGTTTTATCATAGGTTGCGAACAATAACGGGACATTAGTTTTTATAATGATACATATAGTGATAAAGCCCGTGACTCTCAAATAACTAGGTCCTTGAATGGTTAACTGAGCCTAATTCGAAGCACTTTAATTATAGAGGTATGGGTGCAAATCCTACCCGAATGGGTTCTATTCCTTACATTAACAATTTAAGATTCTGTACCTGTAGAGCTTATGATGCTTGATTTTATCCAGTGGTGGCAAACCTTTTTTGTGACACGCACACCTTAGTGGTAAGTCATGACTGAAACAGCACACGACAAATTGTTCATGGTTTTTCTTTAATTGTTTTGCGGCACATGGGTTGGCCATCACTGGTTTAACCAATCGATGTATCCTACATGATTCATTTACATATCAGATAAAGAGAATTTATGTCCTTTTTAAGCTTCTTAGTTTCAAGAAACATTGATTAAAATGTAAAACATTGAGAGGGCCAAGCCTTTTGAGCTGGAGACACTGCGATTCAAATTAGAACAGAATCTATTGTACCAACATTGATTAAGAAGATGATTTACTCTAGTTTGCAGAGGGATTACTTTATAATCGAGGATACTCAAGTAACCAAAATCGTCCATATGTATTCATTGATGTAATACAAAAGGACGATTTTGATTCCTTCCTAAGGAAGGTCAATGTAATACATATAGACAATTTTGGTTAATAGGGTAAACTTAGAGTATTTATAGGAAAAACTTGAGCGCAAAAATGTTCTATATCCGAAAAACCAGTCCCAACTGTGAACCTTTACCATAGAACTGTCTAAGTGATATAATGTTTAATCCATGCATCTGGTTGCACTGTTTTAATGTTGCTAATACAAAATGCGCTTCAAGCTTCGATAAAATAATCCAGAAATTAACTTTCATACTAAATTTCTTCTTTTTACTACTGCTGACATATCCTGCCGCATTAATGTAGAAGGATAGAGCACAAAAAAAATCATTTAAAGTTTCTCTGTTCTTTTTCTTCTTCTTAAAAGATTTATTTTCATTTCGATTGTGATGTTGATATTAAAAGCTTTCCGTTTCTATTTCTCATTTTGCCTCAACGGGCCTCAACATGAGAATTATTATTTTTAAAATAAGAAAGAAGTAGTAACGAAAAAGACAATGAAAATGCATTATCTCATGACTTTCTTGAAGCAATCGCTGTTGTGCGTGCAGCATAAATTGAGTTCCTGTTTCAAAGATTTCCATCTCCTTCCTAACATACAATATATTTTAAACTCAATTAAAAATTAATGGTAACAGCTTGTAATCCCTTATAATATTTTGCAAAAATAAAAAAATAAACCAGAACGGAAATGTATGAAAATGAGGGGAGAACATGGGGAGGATATAAATTTCTTCATTCACATTAAATGCTTCAGATTAAACAAGAAGAAAAATGTGCGTGCCCAGTGAAGAAACAAAATAATAATAAAAAAAATCTCCACACTTTACTTCCGACAACAATAAATTGTAATTTGTTAAAAATTCCATTGTTTTAAAGCTAGAAAGGCGCGAGAATTGCGTAACGGTTGTGTAGGAAAAAAAATATGAATATTCAATTGCCTTCCTTATGCCTATAGTTAGTGTGAATAATGTGGATGAATTGTTGTTAGACGAGAGAAATAAAAAATACCCCATTTGATGATAACCATCGGCATTTTGTTAAGTGCCTTAGTAATTTATGCAAAATTAATTCATTAACAAGCCTGATTAAAGTGATTTTATATTCTCTGTTGTTCTGCCAGCTACCTTCACAACAATATTTTATTCTTTTATTTTTTTTGCCATGAAAAAAAGTCAGGCAAGCAACTTCAACTTCAATAGCTTTTCATTTTCTTTTCTTCGTCACTTGAGGACATCTTCAGTAAGATTTCTCAAATAGTTGTCGCGCTAATTGGATCTGTAAAATTTCATTTTGCTTTAATTTCAATTAAATCGAATGAATTAAAAAATAGAATTTCTGCTCGATTTTTTTTATATGACACAACAATTGCATTGAAATGAATGAGGAGACGATGAATGAAATGCTTGACAAATCTTTTTGAAGCCACTTGGAAAAAATGTTGAATCGCCATGATTTGCTGCATTAAAATTTTTACCTTTTTTTAAAGAATGAATTTTTTTGGATTTGTGAGGAATTGGCTAGATGTGAGGTTATTTATGATCCTTGTGAACTAAAGCTTGTTTTAATTAGTTGAGGCTGGTCTAAGTAAGGTGAAACTAATCTTAGTATGTTGAAGCTAGTCCTAGTAAGTTGAATCTAGTCCTAGTGAGTTGAATCTAGTCCTAGTAAGTTGAATCAAGTCCTAGTAAGTTGAATCTAGTCCTAGTAAGTTGAATCTAGTCCTATTAAGTTAAAGCTAGTCCTAGTAAATTGAATCTAGTCTTAGTATGTTGAAGCTAGTCTTATTAAGTTGAAGCTAGTCCTATTAAGTTAAAGCTAGTCCTAGTAAGTTGAAGCTAGTCCTAGTAAGTTGAATCTAGTCCTAGTGAGTTGAATCTAGTCCTAGTAAGTTGAATCAAGTCCTAGCAAGTTGAATCTAGTCCTAGTAAGTTGAATCTAGTCCTATTAAGTTAAAGCTAGTCCTAGTAAATTGAATCTAGTCTTAGTATGTTGAAGCTAGTCTTGTTAAGTTGAAGCTAGTCCTATTAAGTTAAAGCTAGTCCTAGTAAGTTGAATCTAGTCCTAGTAAGTTGAATCTAGTCCTAGTAAATTGAAGCTAGTCTTAGTAAGTTGAATCTAGTTCTAGTAAGTTGAATCTAGTCCTAGTAAGTTGAATCAAGTCCTAGTAAGTTGAATCTAGTCCTAGTAAGTTGAATCTAGTTCTAGTAAGTTGAATCTAGTCCTAGTAAGTTGAATCTAGTCCTAGTAAGTTGAATCTAGTCCTAGTAAGTTGAAGCTAGTCTTAGTAAGTTGAATCTAGTTCTAGTAAGTTGAATCTAGTCCTACTAA